GACACAAGAGCCCTAAGGAAAGCTAGCAGCAAGACCGCGAAATGTGATTTCATCAATAAGTCATAGTGTAATGAAGTCGCAACATTCCTTTTTAGGAAAAATGAATCTGATCCCTGGTTTACAAAACTGGCCTTTTTTCCATGCTGTCATTTTATGTCTATTGGCTAATGTAAAATTCAACATTTTCTTTTGAATTTCCATATATATATATATATATATATATATATATATATATATATAAAGTGCATTTAAAAAATATGGCTGTAAAATCTTTTCTGTTTGTGTTATGTATATATATTATTTCTCATATTGCTCTATGGAATTTTCTATAATTCATGCATTTTCTTTGGTTCACGGTTCACATGTTTTGGCCAATCTTTTTAACAGTTCTGGAAATTGTTCTATTCTCTGCATTATATATCTGCATGTTTGTTTATACATGCATATAATCGTGGAGGCGACATATACGTGACTTTAGGACCATAGTTAACATAATTTTACAATGTTACCATAGTTTTACAGAAGAACAGTTATGGCTCACCCAGCTAGGATCTATGATCTATGATAAATCACAATACATTTTGACAGACTAGTACGGAAACCCCTAGTTTGATTTAATTGCAAGCTGTATACCAATTGGATTGCAAGCTCCAATTCCCTTTTTGTTGTGCATTATACAGTAGAATAATTGTTCCCTTTGTTTATAAAAATAAGTTGAATCTCTATAAGCAGTTAATAATGATGGGTTGTAGTTACGTCCAGTCCATCTTTACAGTGTGATCTATGAAGGTGTATTACCCTACCCCGTAGTAGTAGTATCAATACCGCATTGCAGGGGAGACTAATCAACACCCTTATTCCACACTGGCCATTTTATACAAGTCAGATAGATAGATAGATAGATAGATAGATAGATAGATAGATAGATAGATAGATAGATACTTTTAGTGTATCTGGCAATGCATGATTTTAATTTCTTTACTGTATATAATGACAGATTTACGACAACTAGGGTTTAATAATCTGTTTTATAAGTGGACGCACAGCCTTAAAAAACCCAAAAAACAATATTTGATAACTACACAATCAACATTTAATAGTCAGCTACAAGTGAGATCTGTATAAAGTGGCCTGCATAAAATGTACATGTCAAACTAAAGGTCAAGATTTATTATTAATTGCCATATATCTCTCCTACGATTGTTTTGTCCGTAATGGTATTTTCTACTATTTTGTAAATGTTTTAAACACGCTATGGTGATGAATGTACAAATCTGAATAACATAAAATACTGATGTTCATTACATTATCTAAATCACTTTTATATTCAAATACTGTTTGCATAGAATAAGTACTCTCTATTTTACAGACTGCATAGGATAGTACAGTAACTAAAAAGTAATAAATAACTTGTATATGTATCACCTAACTGAAGAGTGCATTATTTTCACATATTTATTTCATACTTCTGCACCATTCTGTAATATCTTTTATAAAATTTAACGATAATGAAGTATGATTGTTTCTTGTGTTCTGCATACAGTGACATATACAACGCATATATATTGTACATTTTGTAATGGAATGCTAAAAAATGAGCATTACGAAAAGTTAAATTAGGCTTTCCGACTATTTCTATGATTTTTAGTAGTATGTGATGATATATAGCTCTCTCTCTCTCTCTATATATATATATATCTATATTACACACATATTCACTTTCTACATGCAACATGCATTTTCATAGTAGAAAAATGGAGTTAATAATTTCAAAATGCATTCTTCTAATCTAAAAGGTAAATAGCAGGGTAGTATAGATAGATGTATATCGCATTGTTACAGCAAGGCAGGCACAGTAGGTGACAGAAGCATGAAACATTTACTTGGTATGTTAGTGTATGTAGCATTATCTATTAGCAAAAAGATATAGCCTAAAGACGTAGTATCTGCCAGAAAATACAGTTGGGAATAGAAGTGTACACTGCAAATGGGTAAGTTTATGAAAGTAAGAAGAGTGACAGACAACGCATATACAAGTATTGTGCATGCAAGGTAATCAAGGTTTAGCGAGAGATAAAGAATCACAAAATTGAAAAAAGTTTTAAAAAATGACAAAATTCACGTAGTTTGCAATGACCCAGTAAATCCAATAAAAATATTTAAACTCCAAAAAAACTGATCCCTAAAGAACATAAATAAAGAGAAACAAGATATAGTTAAAAAAACTAAGATAAATATAAAACGTATAAAAAAAGAAAGAGCAAGGAACAATCATTGCATAATGATAGTAAACAGTGTGGAATGTGAGAAAATTAGAGGCTATGTAGAAACTTTCCAGAGTGGAACAAGCGGAGAAACTTTTAGAGTGCTAACGTATAAGTAAGAAAAAAATATGTTTAAAAAGAAAAAGAAGAAGAGCAGAGATCTAAAAAAAAAAAAGAATGGAAAATGCTTCACAAACTAAAGGAGAGAACCCGAGAGAGACATCTGTAGACCGTCAAACAAAGGGGAAAAAAGGTGAAGAGACCAACTGAGATACTTTCAAAAAAAGTCTCTCATTGGCTTGTAGGATAGATTAAGTTAAAAATGGTCTTTGAAAACACTTGAAAAAACACCTTACGAAGTAAAAATTAAAATAAACAAAAAAGAGGGTGAAATGTAGATTTTATTAGCGTAAAAACTGCCAAAGTAAAATGTAAGCCTAGAAATAGCACATTGTGACACATTAAAATACATTTAAAAAGCAAGAAAAAAAGTCCAAACTGGAGAAAGGAAAAAGACAAAAAGGGAAAAAAATACCACCACTTCACAGTATAAATACCGTAGTGAAAAAGCAGATTACTGACAATTAAAACAAATGCCTTTTGTTTTATAGTTCATATGCTATTAGGAGTTTTAGAACAGCAAAGGATAAAAAAAGAACATCATTACTTTTCTAAAATATATATACCAAGATGAGAACTAAGATAAAAAAAAATATTAGAATAGTAAATTAATAAAGGTCAGGTTAAGGAGGGAAAATAACAGGTAGCTTAAATACAGGAAAAGTAAGATATGGGAAATAAAAAATAGGTTTCTATGCTTAAAGGCTAAAAAAAAAAAAAGAAAACCTGAAGAGGAACGAAGGTCGTTGCGGACAAATATATCTGTAGGCTCCTGCGCCGTAAGGGTTAAAATCCTTAGTGTGGGATAGTAGGAAGAGAGAGTGTACGGAGAAAATGAAAAAAAGCTGGGAAAACAGGAGAGAGAGAAATTTACTCTGAAAAGCAGCGTCTTTAAAATGTGTGACTTGGCTGGAATATATTGGGCAGTGCCAGCAAAACCGCAGAGAACGAGGGAGCGAGACAGGAGCGACAGAGTGAAGGAGTAGAGGGAGGAAAGAGGGAAAGAGATATTTCATATTTAATTTCGCTATTAATAGAGGGTGGTTTTCTGTTAAGTTTTGGATGAGGAATAGCAAGGTATTTGGTGATTACCGTGCCTGTGTTTTTGATATTTTTGATTTAAAAAATGAAAAAATAAAATAAATAAGGGAAACAACAAACAGGCATCTGCTTCATCTCTCTTCCCCCCTCTACACACACACACACACGCACACGCGCGCGCGCGCGCACACACCATCCTCAGCCATGAGCGACTGTTTTAATTCTTGTGCCAAAAACTGCGTGGCAAAATAAATCAAAATTAAAAATGAAACCAAAATAAATAATAGCAGAGATAACAGGACAGAAGAGAAAGTCAACAACCAATAACTCCTGGGCTCATCGGCTGCAAGAAAGTAAAGCGTCAAACTTTCGCGTATGCATTTTTTTTTAAGTTGTCGGTTTTGGCAAAACCTTTTTTCTGCCTTCAATATTTTTTTCACGCTCTCTCCCTCTCTTTAGCTCTACACCTCCCTCCTCCCTTCCCTCTCTCTCTCTCTCTCTCTCTCTCCCTCACTCTCCCCTCCCTTTTTCTCTGCTATTGGCTAGCTTCTTCATTTCACTTTGCCAAAAAGGTGGGTCTGTTCGAATCAGTCTCTCTCTCTCTTTTTTTTTCCTCTCTCTTTTCCCTGGCATCGATGCTGGCCACCAATTCAGCACGGAGAGTGAAAGCAGGAGAGAGGGGGAACGAGAGAGAGAAAGAGAGAGAGTTTAAGCGGATAGAAAAAAAAAACAGCCTTCTCTTTTGCTCCAAATCTCCTTCTCGAAAAAAAAAAAACATTACTTTTTCTGTTTATCATCCATTTTTTTTCCTCCTTTCATTTTGCTTTTGTCAGTTTTGGTAATTCATCTGTAGTATTCTAATGCATACCAAGAAATTTTATTTTTTATTTTTTCTTCCATGTTTCGTCCGTTTTGCAGACAACAATTAAGTTCCCTTCGTTGTTTATCCAGCACTTGGAATTACGTATCCATTCATTTGAGGCCTTTGCACGTTAATAACTTTCAGAGATATTGCCATCTTCTGCTGTCTTAATTTACATCTCTTTTTTACAGTTGTGTCCCTTCCGCATCCACATATTTAGGAAACGGACTTGTTCTGTACATGATTACGCATAGATTTGTCTGCGGTTGTATGCTTTGTCCCTTTTTTCACCTCTTCCATACTTACATTTTTTTATTTATCAATTTGCTTCGTGTCCTCCCTTTCTCTCTCTCATTGCAATTCTGATGAGCTCCGAATCTGGATGCTTTTAAATACCGGCAGGACTTCGATATGACACCAAGAGATGGTAAATCTTTCCCCTCTCTTTCACACCTATTCATGTCATGTCGTCAAAACTTCATATTTCCAACTTCAAGTCTTTTTTTCCCCAACACCATAAAAAAAAAAAAAAAATCAAGTATAATATGTTCCTAATATTATGACATTTAAATAATTTGTATTAAATTAGATTAGATAAAAAACTGTTTAACATTACCTTAATAAGTTCACACAAATGACAATTTAATTACTTATGCAAAAATACGTTTTCTTGGACTGTTAACTTTATTTTTTCTTTATTTTTTTATTTCTTTCAGGATGAATTTCACCCCTTCATCGAAGCTCTTCTTCCCCATGTGCGTGCATTCTCATACACATGGTTCAATCTTCAAGCAAGGAAGCGCAAATACTTTAAGAAGCACGAGAAGCGGATGTCAAAGGACGAGGAGAGGGCGGTGAAGGACGAGTTATTAGGGGAGAAGCCTGAGATCAAGCAGAAGTGGGCGTCACGGCTCTTGGCCAAGCTGAGGAAAGACATCCGGCCAGAGTTCCGAGAGGACTTTGTCCTGACCATCACCGGGAAGAAACCTCCGTGTTGTGTCCTTTCCAACCCAGATCAGAAGGGCAAAATTCGGAGGATTGACTGCCTCCGCCAGGCAGATAAGGTGTGGAGGCTGGACCTGGTGATGGTCATCCTGTTTAAGGGGATTCCGCTGGAGAGCACAGATGGGGAACGTCTCTATAAGTCGCCCCAATGCTCCAACCCAGGGCTGTGTGTACAGCCTCACCACATTGGGGTGTCCATCAAAGAGCTGGACCTCTACCTGGCCTTTTTCGTCCACACACCTGGTAAGTTTTGGCCTTGCATCACTGTCTACACGCGCACTCACTGCAGCATAGCTGTTTTTAAGTTTAAGACCTTTATCGCTGGCAAATCCAAGTTGACATTGCTCCAATGTAAGGAAATCTTTGTTAAGATATTAAAAAAAAACATGAGGCACTAGACATAATTACAATGCATGAATTAAATATGTATTATACATAAATATGTATACAATATAAACTATGTTCTCATTACACCAAGTTACTTACAGCCAATTAATGCAGTGGCCTTCATCTGTATATGGGGAATGATGTACATCCTGTTAGGCTTTTGGGGCCTAAACTTCATTGAGCACTGTCAAGTCTGGTTTGCCTTTAATCACACACAGATTTTACAAGAAAAAATTAAAAATAATGAATATTTCTTCCGAGAAACTTAACTATGTTATAGTTATATATTTAATCCTTTTTCAGACTGATTTCTGTGCTTCTTTATTTTGTGTATAGGTAGTTTTGAACCGCCAGATGTTTTCTACATTATATGGAACCCAATTTTTTTAAATTTATCCTTGAATATATACAGTTTGAAGGTGACAGGAAAAACAGAAAACATACTGGCATAACAAATATCATCCTTTCTAAACACAAAAAAGACGTATGTGTTCAATTTTAATTTTGTATAAAAGAGATTGAAGACATGAACAGTACATTTATATACACGTGTAAGAATAAAAATAATTTAAATTGAGAATTCTTTTAACAAGGATTTAACAATTTCCATCATGGAAAACCACAAAGCAAGGTATGCTTCATTAAATTATGAGAGACACTAATCAAAGTAATAAAAAAAAATAATTTCTCATTGTTATAAAAAAATAATTATGTGTGTATGTATATCTATATATCTATATATATATATATATATATATCTATATATAGATATATATAGATATAGATATATATATATATATTTTTTTTTTAGCTATAGCTTGTTTGCAATTACAGGATTTTTGTTTTGAAAACCAATGACAAATATATGATGTATAGCAATGAATCTATGAAGCTACCTAAAATATATTTGCAAAAACATTAATGCAGTTTTAAAAAATACACCTTAACAATTATGTCTGTGAAACAAAGTATATGTGTATTTATCATGTTTTTACTGCGTGTTTTGTGATTGTTACTTTGATTTTCCCTGGTTCCTTAAAAACAATGACCAGCCAGCTTGGTTCAAACTCCTATATAACTTTTTCCAGACATAGTTTGGTACTGATAGAATGCACGCATAGCAAGAAGTATTAATTTATCCAAATTACAAAATTAGGCAGAAAACTGATTTTACATTTGGCAATATGCTGTGTATATTTTATCTATCTATCTATCTATCTATCTATCTATCTATCTATCTATCTATCTATCTATCTATCTATCTGTCTCTATCTTTCTATTCTATTATTATGCTGTACTTTATAAAAGTATTAATATTTTAAAGTACTTGGCAACCTAATTCTATTATAATAAAGAAAGCAATACTTGACTATAAAGATTGAAAATAACAAGTACTTAAAGTACACATGCATAAAATAAGTAAAAAGTACAGAATATAGCATATACGTAAAATGTGATGTAGTACAGTATACAGGAGTATGATGAAACTCAATGTGTTTTCTTATTTTCATTAGGAAGTCACTCATATCATGAATTTTGGGACTGCTGAGCTCACACTCTAATAGACAGAACAAATGAACCAAATACTGTTATAGGTGAAATAATGTAGCGTTCTCCAACCAGAATTTGCACTACTGCATAGAAGACAGATAACAGCTAAAGCTGGAATCAGTAATACATCACACTCTCCCACAGAGCTTACGCTCTAATAAACAAAGGGACACCTTTAAAACTGGCACAGTTGAAAAATCTTATTGGCATGTGATTATATTAATTATGGCATGCAGTAGGTTGGGTAGACAGGAGATATCATACAGAAAATGAGTGCTCGGGAAGTTTTCTGTTTGTACTAATCAGGAAAAAAAAATAGAAAAAAGAAAAGCCTTATGGCAAGTGACTGTGTCAGTAGATCAGCGAACAACAAAGCCTGTGCTGATTTTGGCCAGGGAACCAATGAATCCTGTGGTGAAAGCACAAATGTGTGTTCTGGTTGGAAGTGTGAGGAAGGTCAGAGCCCATATGGAGGAGGACCTGACCTATGACCAGCCACATATGACATGCCATTCATAATTATTTTCTGCACTGATGAAACCTTCACTGAGTTCAGGAACAGAACTGTAAAGATAATAAGCGTGTGTTTGTAAGTGTAGCAACATGTTGGATTTTGACAAATAGGATATTACAAAAATCCTGACTAAGGGGATGATGGAGTTGCAGGGGATGGAGGAGGTAAACCTGCTGCAGGCCTGGTGGAGATCAGGAAATATGCTGAGGTTATCGCTGTATCTAGACCAGCCTCCGGTACCCCCACTACAAAGCACAATATGTATGTCTACCATGACATCAGCATATCAAGCTTGGTGACATCAGAACAACAATGTCACTGTGGTGCCTGGGCCGTGGCTCATAAGGGTGCAATTATGCAAAAAATAAATGGGGGTTCTAAAATGTTGAGGCGCAACTATATCATATTAATAATCCAAGTATTATTCATTCTATACACATTCAGCTTTTTGAAATTGATATTATAACTTCACTTGATATAACTTTGAGGGTCCATCAACTGACACATTGTACAATTACGACGAATGGTGAGTTATGTATGCATAGCCAAATTCTCATCTGCGCTAAGTGCGCTTTCTTTGAAAAAGAGCGCTATATAGAAGCAAACTGTAACATATATAAACCACATGGACAACCCATGTAAATGCATGCAACTTGGGTCTTAAATATGTTATGTAAAAAAAAAAAATGGAATCTCTGTTCACTTTCTGTTTCCAAAATGCAACAGTTGTAAAGTACATCAAAAATGTACCAAAAACCAAAGCATTAAAAATGTTTATTGAAATGTATGTTAAAATGCCAATTTGGCTTCCAAAGCAGAGGTGTGAATGTACCCTTATCCCTGTTGGATTTTGTGTAGGGGATAATGAATAGGGTGATATACTTACCTTATTCCTTGTTCCCATAGGCTTCTTCCAATGGCAGTTCCCTAATATCATCCTGTACAATGCAGGACCAGGAGTCCTGCATTATACAGGAGCATACCAAGGGCCTGCTTACTACTTGGGAGCATCAGGCATGGGAGGAAAGTGCTGACTTGTGAGGAAGCGAGGAATAAAGTAAGTATATCATCTTTTTCACCATCCCCTAGGCAAAATGAGCAGTTAACTCTTGCAGTGGGGAGGGGAAAATTCTGCAAAGAATAAGGCCTCATGAACACTGGACGCTTTGGCCATCTCTCCTAGACACCTTTCTTCCTGGCAGCAGGGTTTTGGCTTTATGATTGTAAATGCATTTAACTACGTCAGGCCCTTGGGCGTTAGTTAATTTCATTGGTCAGAATAAAAAGTTAATCTGGACTGTTAAATAAATTAACGCTTGAGTGCCAAATGTGCATTTAGACGCGTTCACGTGCGTTTAGATGTGTCAAGTGTCTTTTCTGCCAAAACGCCAATGCTCCAGGACACGTTAGCAGTGGGGTTTTTTTTTCTTCCTCTAAATGCCCCCGCCTCTAAACTCTGCTAAAAGCCAATGCATGTATAGACACATAGGCCAACATGCAGGGGCGTTTAGAGGAAGAAAAAAATGCCAGACACCCCTAAGAGCAGAGTTAAAAAGTCCAGTGTGCATGGGGCCTAAATCTTTTTTTTCTCCAGAGTTTATAGTACATATGTCATGATGGTGGTAACACAATGCAATCCAAATGCCTTTTATTTGTCACCCATATTTAAGGATGTAAGGCTAACAAATTATGCTGAGTGTTACAGAGCATGTAGAATCATTCCCATCATTCCCTACCCCCTGGCAGAGCTTACTCTCTGTGTCACCCTGTGATTGGAGGGACAGACTCCCTGACACAACGTTCCTAATCTTTGTGCCACCCTGTAGTGAATGGGTCTGACTACATATCACATAGCTCCTTCTGATTGGTGTCACACTGGTGGAAGGGACAGACTCCATGTGATGTAGTTTCTTCTGTCTGTGTCATACAGTGGTGGTAAGGACAAATTCAGTGTCAAACAGCTTCTCCTGGGTGGTGTCACACTGTGGTGGGAGGGATAGACTCCATGTTCCATACTGTCTGTGTCATGTTGTAATAGAAAGGACAGACCCCATGTCACATAGCTTCTACCATCTGTGTCACCCTGTAGTAGCAACGAAATATTCCATGTCACACAGCTCCTCCTGAGTGGTGTCACATTGTGGTGGGAGGGATGGTCCTTATGTCACATAGCCTGTCTGTGTCATCCTGTGGTTGGAGGGTCTGACTCAGGGGCGGACTGACCATTTGGAAACTGGCACTGCCCGAAGGCCTGGGGTCAGTAGGGGGCCCCATGAGATGCCCCTGGTACCTTTTTCATAGGCTTTTTTGAGTTTGGGCAAGGACACAGGGGCCCCATGATCCCCTATTGCCTGGGGGCCCCATGAATTGTCAGTCCGCCCCTGGACTCTGACTCCATGTCACATAGTTTCTACTGTCTTTTTCACCCTGTGGTGGGGGGGACGTATTCCATGCCACACAGCTCCCCCTGAGTGGTGTCACCCTGTGGTGGGAGGAACAGACCCCATGTCACACAACTCTTCCCATCTGTGTGACCCTGTAGTGGGAGGGACGTATTCTATGCCACACAGCTCCCCCTGAGTGGTGTCACCCTGTGGTGGGAGGAACAGACCCCATGTCACACAACTCTTCCCATCTGTGTGACCCTGTAGTGGGAGGGTCTGACTCCATGTCACCCTGTCATGGGAGGGACAGACTCTATGTCACACAGCTCCTTCATGGTGGAGTAACCCTATGGTTGGAAGGAAAGACATCATGTCTCACAATTCCCTACTGTCTGGGTCACACTGTTATGGAAGGGACAGACTCCATGCCACATACCTCCTACCATCTGTGTCACCCAATGTTGTAAGGGTCAGACTCCATACTATGCAGCTTCTTCTGGGTGGTGTCACCATGTGGTGGGAGGGACAGGCTCCACGTCACATAGTTCTCTACTGTCTGTGT